GGAAATTAAATTGGCAAACAAAAAAGCAGTCTGCACATTAATGTTTTTGCTGCTCAATTCACAATAGCTAAGACCTGGAACCAACCCAAATGCCCATCAACAGTAGACTGGATAAAGAAATTATGGGACATCTCTATTTTTTTTTGTTTTTGTTTTTGTTTGTTTTCTCTTTTATTTAATGAATATAAATTTCCAAAGTACGACTCATGGGTACTCTATTGAATACTATACAGCAGTCTAAAACAACGAAATCCAGTCATTTGCAACAAAACGGAGGAATCTGGAACACATCATGCTGAGTGAATTAAGTCAGTCCCAAAGGGACAAATATCATATGTTCTCCCTGATCGACAACTAACTGAGCACCAAAGTGGAAACTTGTTGAAGTGAAACGGACACTGTGAGAAACAGTGACTTGATCAGCTCTTGTCCTGACGGTTGATGTACAATGTAATACTTTATCCATTTTAGTATTTTTTTTGTTCTAGTACCATTGATTGAACTCTGTAATTAACACACAATTGTTCTTAGGTGTTTAAATTTTAACTGAAAAGTGATCCCTATTAGGAATTTGGAAAACTTATTTTGAGTGAAATAAGCCAATCCTAAAGGGACAAATACCACTTGTTCTCCTTGATAGGTGTCAACTAACTGAGCACCAAAAAGGAAACCTATTAAAGTGAAATGAACACTATGAGAAACGGTGACTTGATCAGCCTTCACCTGACTGTTGATGAGCAGCTAAATATGTTATCCCTCTTAGTATTTTTTTGTTTGTTCTACTTCTATACTTGGTTGAATACTGTAATCAATACACAATTCTTCTTAAGTGCTGAAACTTAACTGAAAAGTGATCGCTGTTAAATATAAGAGTGGGAATAAGAGAGGAAGAGATGTGCAATTCGGGACATGCTCAAGCTGACTTACTCTCAAAGGCGAGTAGAGGTTAGAAACTACCAGGGGATTGCGAATTCAATCCCATCGAGGTGGCATGTACCAATGCATCTCACTAGTCCCAGTGATCAATTCTGTTTCACAATTGATTCATAATGATAGGAGAAGAAACCAAAGGGATCACATAACAAGAATAGTGTCTGCAAATACTAGCTGATAGAATAAAAAGGGAGAGAATGATCCAACATGGGAAGGAGATACACAGCAGACCCATAAGATGGCAAAATTCCTAACAGCACTCTGGCCTCAGAATCAGCCTTAAGGCATGCGGATCGGCTGAAATGCCCATGAGAGTATTTCAGGCATGGAAAGCCAAGACACTCTGGCGGAAAAAAAAAAAAAAAAACCTAAATGAAAGATCTCTGTGAGTGAGATCCCGTGGAAAGAAAGGGTCATCAAAGAAGGAGGTACCTTTCTCTGAAGGGAGGAGAGAACTTCCACTTTGACCATGGCCTTGTCTAAATATGATCAGAGTCAGTGAACTCAGGACGCTTCCATAGCCTTGGCTGCTTAAGACAAGAGCCTACGGTGATTACTGATGCCATAAACAAGAGTGTCAATTTGTTAAGTCAGCAACAGGAGTCACTGTGCACTTACTCCTCATGTAGGATCTTTGCCCTTAGTGTTCTGTACATTGAGATTTAATGCTATAACTAGTACTGAAACAGTATTTTTCACTTTATGTTTCTGTGTGGGAGCAAACTGTTGAAATCTTTACTTAATGTATGCTAAACTGATCTTTTGTATATAAAGAGAATCGAAAATGAATCTTGATGTGAATGGAAGGGGAGAGGGAGTGGATAAGGGGAGGGTTGCGGGTTGGAGGGACATTATGGGGGGAAGCCATTGTAATCCATATTCTGTACTTGGAAATTGATATTCATTAAATAAAAGTTAAAAACTAAATCCTGCAAGAATACTGATAGCGATTGTATCTACATGTAAATGCAATTGAGAAAAGCATTCTATTTAAATATGTTGATATTTATATCCTTATAGGCCAGCGACTTGAGCATTTTCTACTGCTTTCCCAGGCCTTAGCAGAGAGCTGGATCAAAAGTGGGACTCTAGCACCCATATATGATTCCTGCACTGTAGGCAGCGGCTTTACCCATTATGCCAGAGTGCTGGCCCCTATTTATTTTATTTTATTAAAAGGTAGAATTATAGAGACAGGGAGACATAGCAAGAGAGGTCTTCTACCCACTGGTTCACTTCCCAGATGGCTACATTGGCCAGGTCTTGGCCTGGCTGAAGCCAAGAGTCAGGAGCTTCCTGGTCTCCCACCTAGGTAGAGGGGCCCCAACACTGCTTTCCCAGGCACATTTCTTTGCAGAAAGATTTGAAGAGATTATGGCTATGAATCTTCAAAAGATAAATTAAACAAACAAAACAAGAGAATACATTCAGAGAACCAAGGAGGATCAAAAAGAACCAACACAACAAGGCATGCCAGAGTAAAAATATGGAGAAACCAGCTGTCATCATCTGTTTGGGCTATGATGACAGAAAACTGAAGACTGGATTTCTCATGAACATAAGTCTATTTTCACCAGCTCTGGGGCCTGAAAAATCCATGATCAAAACTCCTAGGAACTCACTGTCTGGTGATGGTCTCCTCCCAGGTCGTGAAGGGCATCGTCTCACTGTCACTCACCCAACAGAAGAAGCAGGAGCCCTCTGGGCTTCTACACAGGGCACAAATCCCATTTCATGGGGCTCCGCCTTCATGAATCATGGAATTCATGTGCAGTCATATTTGCCTTTCTCTCACCAGAGTAGAGATCATGTTCCAAGCCTTGTACACAAAGGAGAGAAATTTTAGAAGAAATCTTAACAATTCCTACTATAAGATTTTTTAATCTGGATTCCAATTTTCATATTCTCCCAATTGCAAACTAGATTTACTTTCTCAAAAGAATTTCAAGTCTCCTCATCAGCTCAAGCGCAAAAGTAGCATCACCTAAATGTAAATCTTAACATCTCATCAGCTCACTGTCCAAAAAAGACCTAAATCTGATACGCATATTGTTGAAAATTGATCCTATAAATTCCATCCTCTCCATCTATAGACTTCAGAAACCAAAGAGAAAGAGTTATTTTCCTCAAGGCTCCTAGCATGCATTAGAGAGACGGATCCAGGATAGCGGTCACTTGGCTTTGTTAAAAAAGGGATGAGGTTGGGAGGAAAGGTGCATCACTGGCCACACCAGTCCTGACATACAGTTAGGAAAACATATGGTCTTCCTAAGTCTCAAGGCTTCAGAGTGATCCTTCATGGATTTTTGGCTCCATTCTCTGGGCTCAGGACTCTGCCCTGTAAGTTGTTCTCAGATTTCCTTTTCCACGACAGGTTGCACGTATCTGTGCCTGAGTTGTATCTGACAGGCCTGCTTCCTGTTGGTGAAATACTGGGTGCCCAGAAGTCCTCTTTCGTTTGTACTCTAGTGATCCTTTTCAATAAAAGCCAATAGTTTTTCTGCCAGTATAATCTTATAACTACCTTGTGGGCCTTCCATGGCTTTTATTGGTTTTCACTGTATTAGACAAAAGGCACATCCACAAATCTTTGAAGATAACCCCTTCTCCATCTTTGGCTCCAGCCCTTAAGCTTCCTGGAATTCCTTTGTTTTGGATCTGAAGATATGTGGAGCACATCCTTATCTTTAAAAAGTACTCTTTCTTCTTCTCTCTGTCCTCTCTCTCTCACTGTCCACTCTGCCTGTCAAAAAAAGCACTCTTTCTGTGATTTCACACTTGTCCTTTTGATCTCTGTAAGGCTTTAGCCCAAACTTGCACAATCACACTTTCAGCCTTAACTTTTATGTTACCCTTTTGTCTGTTATTCATGACTTCCAGTATCTGTAGCCATCTAAAAAGGCTGCCTGGAAAGGATGCATTTTCTTTATGAGATCTTTATCATTCAATTCAATCTTTTAAAATAGAAGAATTTTCAAAACTAAAAAATGTAATAGTATGACAACAATTCAAACAGTGGGATATGGAATTAAAGATGTTAATTTTGATAAAAAATTGAAATGCATACATAGCTTCTGTGTAATACTCATTTGAAGATCCTTGAATGCATGGATTTCAAAATTTTTGCCATTAAATAAGTCTCTTAATTCCACCTCCCAAAACTTTTTGAAATACCCTCATGGAATAATCACTTGGTGCCCTTGTGTAATTATTCCCCAAATAATATAAGCAGCATGCAAGCTTTTTTCACTTCTTTTTCTTTGCATTTTAATTTTGTGATTTTAAGCAGTGAGATGACACATTATTTTCTCCCTTTTTCACTTTTCTCCAAGTCCCCAAGCAGTTCTGAGCTTTGCACTCTCTAAGGAGTGGCATGGAAGACTGTGTATGTGGCAAAGTGGCTCATTTATCTCAGAGGGACCAGAGATGACTGACAGTATTGAGATTCATCATACATCATTCTATTCAACATGGTTCAATGGGTGATTTCATCTCCATTCTTGACTGGCAACCATAGATGTCAATAAGTAAAATATTCAACAGGTAGAGGTTTTGTCTGTACCATTTCGGGCATATGTGAAACATGTAAAATCCTGGAAAAAATGCCCACAGGCCACATTCAAATTTTGTGGCAAATTTAATCTTTATTGTGCTGAAAACAGCCAATTCTGAGGCCACGAGAGAGAAAGTCTCACAGCCTTGGTTTCAAAAGGCTAGTAACTCTCTTCCCTCACGCCCTGAGAAAAAAGATGTGACTAGCCAAAAAAAAAAGGCTAATTGAAATTCTCATGATTTCTGAGATATTTCTTCAATTTTGATATAGCCACAGTTCTGAATTTCTTGTTTCTAAAGTTATTTCAGCTTATTGCTCTTGTAGTTAATTTTTCAGCATGAACTTCTTGCACATGAAATAATAACTCCCTTGTTTTTACATTATACTTCCTTTTCTCCGATCTAGTAACAGAACAATGTAAAGCAACAGTGACATTCATCATCTGTTTAAGTAAACTTTGATTGTTTTGCTGTGATTATGAATGAGAAAACTACAGGCTCACTTTGTTTTTAAAGACTTATTTATTTATTTGAGAGGTAGAGTTACAGACAGAGAGAGGGAGAGACAGAGAGAAAGGTTTTTCATCTGCTGGTTCACTCTGAGCCAATCTGAAAACCAGGATCCAGGAAATTCTTCAGGGTCTCCCATGTAGGTGCAGTTGCCCAAGTAATTGGACGATCTACACTGCTTTCCCAGACCATAAAAAGAGAGAGGGATCAGAAGAGGAGCAGCTGCAACATGTGGGATGCAGGCGCTAAAGGCAGAGGCTGAGCCTACTACGCCACAGTGCCGGCCTCCTCGTTTCACTTTTTATGTTCATGTTTACCTCAGGTTAGCTGACTATACTCTTTCTGACCTATACCAGGCCATAGGCAAAAGGTATGGCCTTTAGATTCACAGTGTCATAGGATAATTCTTTTTTTAAAAACTTCTTATTAAAAATGAACTTCTTATTAAAAATTCTTATTTTAAATTTTATTTTTTATAAAATGCATTTGTAGAAATGTTTCATTAAATACTGGTCCTACAAAAATAAAAATAAAGCAAACATACATGTTACATATGTTACTTAGACATAAACACACATTATTTACAAGTTCAAAAATTCAAAAACTCCAGCAAGTTTCTCCATGATTCTCAACAAATCTGATAAGTAGAGGAAACAATAATAGCACAAATACACTACACACTATGCATATTTTTGTTTTTGAAAAATTAATCATTACAAATATATGAACACAGGGCTGGCGCCATGGCTCACTTGGTTAATCCTCCACCTGCATCCCATATGGGTGCCGGGTTCTAGTCCCAGCTGCTCCTCTTCCAGTCCAGCTCTCTGCTGTGACCCAGGAGGGCAGTGGAGGATGGCCCAAGTGCTTGGGCCCTGCACCCACATGGGAGACCAGGAGGAAGCACCTGGCTCCTGGCTTCGGATTGGCACAGCGCCGGCCATAGCAGCCATTTGGGGAGTGAACCAATGGAAGGAAGAACTTTCCCTCTGTCTGTCTCTCTCTCTCTCTCACTGTCTATAACTCTACCTGTCAAATAATATACATATATATGAACACAAGAAGTGTGGGAGTGTACATTCTAAGAGCAAAGTTTGGTTTACTATTTTATTCTAATTTTCCAAACTAGACCCTACTGGAAATCATCCAATCCTTTCCACTCAAATCACTTTGCTTAAAGCATAACACGCAAACTGGTAAGAAGAGGAGCAAACGAGTCTGTAATTCCATTGTCATCTCTGGTATTAGGAGCTATCTGTATTCTACTTTGCTTTACTAATTTATTTAGTATTTAAAATAGTCCAGGCCGGCGCCGTGGCTCAATAGGCTAATCCTCTGCCTAGCGGCGTCAGCACACCAGGTTCTAGTCCTGGTCGGGGCGCCAGATTCTGCCCCGGTTGCCCCTCTTCCAGTCCAGCTCTCTGCTATGGCCAGGGAGTGCAGTGGAGGATGGCCCAAGTGCTTGGGCCCTGCACCCCATGGGAGACCAGGATAAGCACCTGGCTCCTGCCATCGGATCAGCGCGGTGTGCAGGCAGCAGCACGCCAGCTGTGGCGGCCATTGGAGGATGAACCAACTGCAAAAGGAAGACCTTTCTCTCTGTCTCTCTCTCTCTCACTGTCCACTCTGCCTGTCAAAAAAAATAGTCCAAAGTCATAATTCATTTATCAGGCACTCTCTTTTTGTGAGGTACTATTAATTAGTTTCTCCATGTTAACTGATAATGGTGATATTGGAGATTAATTTATGAGTTAGTCTGGTTATTGCTGAGTCGCAAGCTTCCTGAGCTACATTATATTGCATTTCTTTAGTACTGTCATGTTCTTTTTCCATTGAGTATACTTTGGTAAATTTGGGTTATGCTGAGTTTCCTGATTTAGGTTCATAAATTATTATTTTTTAAAGATTTATTTATTGTACTGAAAGTCACAGTTATACAGAGACAGGAGAGGCAGAGAGAGAGAGAGAGAAAGAGAGACAGAGAGAGCGAGAGAGAGAGAGGTCTTCCATCCACTGCTTCACTCCCCAGATGGCTGCAACAGCCAGAGCTGAGCTGATCTGAAGCCAGGATCCAGGAGCCAGGAGCCTCCTCTGGGCCTCCCACAGGGGTGCAGGGGCCCAAGGAATTGGGCCATCTTCTACTGCTTTCCCATAGGCCCATAAATTATTAACTGGAGTGCTGGAGATATTACCTAAGCCCTGATTTTTTATTATTTGTTTATTACACTTGAGATAAACCCACTTTACTATGAAGTTAAATGATACTGTGAAGACATCATTTCCTACTATGTGTTTAAGACATAATAAACACTTAAGTGGGCCAGTGCCGTGGCTCACTAGGCTAATCCTCCGGGCTGACACACAGGTTCTAGTCCCGGTCGGAGCGCCGGATTCTGTCCCGGTTGCCCCTTTTCCAGGCCAGCTCTCTGCTATGGCCCGGGAGTGCAGTGGAGGATGGCCCAAGTGCTTGGGCCCTGCACCCCATGGGAGACCAGGAGAAGCACCTGGCTCCTGGCTTTGGATCAGCGTGGTGCGCCAGTCACAGTGCGCCGGCTGCGGTGGCCATTGGAAGGTGAACCAATGGCAAAAGGAAGACCTTTCTCTCTGTCTCTCTCTCTCTCTCTCACTGTCCACTCTGCCTGTCAAAAAAAAAAAAAAAAAAAAAAACCAAACACTTAAGTAATGACTTATACGTCTTTTTTTTATTTAAAAACTACTGACTTTTTCATTTTATCTATTTGAAAGGCAGAATGATGATAGATAGATACATAGATAGATCGCTCTAAACCATTCAGTTGTCACTTGTTTTTTACTCTAAAATAAGTCACCGTCTATAACATTCCAAAAATTACATAAAGCTAATAGAAAAATTCCAGTAATTTAAACTTTTCTTTAATTCCTTGAAGTGGCTTGATATATGAATTGTATTGTTAGTTATCTCTATACCTTGATTTTACTGTCTGTAAGAAGATGACAATACCAGGAAGCTCTCTCTACCTCATACAATTTTGAATTAGCCAGCTGAAGGAATGCATACATCATCCCATGTCATGCTTTATAAAGCATGAAGTTAGGATAATGAGGTGGTGAGAGCATGAGCTTGGAGGTCAAACCTGTCTGGGTCCCCTGGCTGCCCTGCCATTTAATAACTGTGTGCCACTGAACACTGTGTAACTGCTCTGCATTTCAGATTCGTCATCAGGAAATATCATGCTAATGAATAACTCCAGAGATGTCTGTGTGGATTAGGCCAGACAATGCAGATAAAGTCCTTGGCACGGAGTGCAGAGTGGCGCACAAAGGTAATAGCTCAGTAGTTGTATTCATGTTGTTAGAAGATTATAACTACAAGTTGTTTCCCCAAGGATTTTTTAAAGTTCCTGTTTCCAAGTTAAAGAATATATCCCCTCACTTATGAATAAAAAAACACTCAATTTTAAAATGCTTTATTTTAATTATAAAGCATCTTCAGGAGTGTCAGAATTGGATGTCTCTTGGCTGTACTTGGACATCCATGCATCCATGCAGTTGATTTGCAGCCATCTGTAGGTTCAGAGCGCCTTTTACCTAAACAGATCAAGGGCACACGCTGCTGGTCCCGGTCGGTGGTCCGGCATCACAACCACTTAGCCTGCTCTTTGTCCAAATCTCACATGGCAAGGATCTTAGATAACCCCATTTCTGTAAACTTTCTAATAACAATTCACTAAGTGGCTAGATCAGTGACTTGGAATTATTCTGGGTTTTCAGTGAGCAAACACAGCCTGGGATAACTCTAAGTTTTAGTTTTTTCTGAAAGACTATACAAGAAATAAAGGAGTATAAAGTGTTCTCACTGGCAACAATTTTAATCATTGCTTAGCTAGGTACAAAATCCACTCAGGAATTCTTTAGAAATTTGATGGTTATTGACAAAAATATATGTGTCTCCAGCAACCCTCCAGAGATGCCTGTATCTATTTCCCCATTATTTCACAGCCAAAGTGAAGCAGCCACCATTCCTTCAAAGTTCTCTTTCACTCCTATTAATTTTGTGGACTTTGAGGAGTCATGGCTTTAGTTCACTTCTTCATACCACTCTTATTTTATTGTTGTATCATTCATTGACTCCGTGTTTGCTTTAGACTTAAATCCCTTGTAGTCAATCTCTAAAATAGAGTCTTTAAAAATATTTAATTGTACTTACTTGAGAGGCAAAGATACAAAGATAGGTAGAGAAATGGAGAGATGTCTCTCCTCTGCTGGTTCACCCTCCAAAACCCTGCCACAATGAGGTCTGAATCAAGCCCAATACCCTCTGCTTGTGGCGCCATCATCCCATAGGGTGCCAGGTTCTAGTCCCGGCTGCTCCTCTTCCAGTCCAGCTTTCTGCTGTTGCCTGGGAGGGCAGTGGAGGATGGCCCAAGTTGGGCCCTGCACCTGTGTGGGAGACCAGGAGGAAGCACCTGGCTTCTGGCTTTGGATCGGTGCAGCACCGGCCATGGCGGCCATTTGTGGGGGGTGAAGCAATGGATGGAAGACCTTTCTCCCTATCTCTCTCTCTCTCTCACTGTCTAACTCTGCCTGTCAAAAAAATATTACCTTAAATCAACTTCAATATTAAAATAATAATTTAATTTAATAACATTACAGTTTTAAGTTAGAAAATTGTGCATTTTAGTACATTATATTCTCAGCTTAGTAATTCGTTCTATTTTATGTTTATTTAAAATAAATCTTCTATTTCAAAACCTCTTTCCCTAGAACAAAGTTTAATAAATCAAATTTATGAATAACATCTAATCATAGAAAACATTATTTGTCATTTAAAATATTAACTAAGGTGGAATATTTTCAATTTTTGTGTTAAAAATAGTCTATTTCACACTAAAATTTACTTGTAAATATCTGTACCTTATTATCTTTGGATTAGATTCTGATACTAGATCCTACAACATAAACACTCTCATATGTTTCTAAATATTTGAGTCACAATTTTAGGTCAGAATTCATATATTACAATCCATTTTGTAGCCCAAACAACAAACAACAGTTTCAGACTTATCCAATATTATTTGCAATATATATTTTGCCTAAACTTGAACAAAATATATAAAAAAGCTGTTATATCATTCAGTGTATTCCTTTCTTTTATTCAAATCAATACCAATTGCTAATATTTTCTATTTTGCACACATATATAAAGAATATTTATTGGAAGACTTGAGTTCAGTGAGTCAGGGGAGATTTCTGACAATCGATGTCTTGAAATTGATCCTTAATTTTAGCATGCACTGTAGATCAATAATGAGTCAGTGCAGCATAAAAGGTGATTCATGAAAAATTTATGATTAGATAAATTAGACTTCATTAAGTCTAAAATATCTTGTTTTCAAAAGACACTGTTAAGAAAATGGATACATAAGCTTTAGAGTGTGATAAAATATTTGTTAAGAATGTATCTGACAATGAATTTTGGAAGACAATGTATAAAAATCTGTTAAAGCTAAGAAAGCACCCAACTGAAAATTGGACAAACTATATGACCAGACTTCCTAGCAAACAGGACACAAGTCTTGTGGGAAGTGGTGTCACCTCCACTCACAGGGAGTATATACCAAGACCCACAGTGGACATTAGAAACTCTGCAGAATACTAAAGCCCATATTCTATTTTTCCTATTCATTGCTATCTATCATGAATTTTAGTTTATAAGTTAATCAAAATAATAGATAACAATAACTAGTAAGTATTGAACAATTTGGACAAATACTATAATAAAAGTTGTATGTACATGATCTTTCAAAATAAGAGGGTACTTAAGAGGACCATGGAAAAATAGTTAGAAAAGGTAAGTATATTTTGGTCCAGAATTAGAAAGATATTCAAAATAGAAATATATTTATATTTATATTTATTTTCTAGTGCATATTTTCCATTAACTTTTTCAAGATACTTCATATGCATGAATTTCAAGTATTTTATATAAAAATAAAATTGTTCTTTTAATTATATTTTCTACAGTCTCTTTGAAGTACCCTTGTATCTTGTCCTGTACTCACTCATCTTTCTTAACTATGTGAAGTGATACAACGTCTAGATGACAAGATGAAATGTCAGCATACATCTGAGAGCTTAAAATACACACCTACATTATCTTATGATCTCTGTAGCACAGGAGTCCAGCATCTCTTGGCTGGGTCCTCTGCTTCTGAGTCTCTTACTAAATTGCTGTTGTTCAGAGCTGGAATCTCCTGCAAGGCTCAGCTGATGAAGGATCCACTCCCCAGCTTACTGTAGTGTTGGAGGGTGCAGTTGCTTGCAGATTGCTGAATCGAAGGCCCAATTCCATCATCAGCTATTGCCAGAGTCTTTCCTCATTCTTTTGTTACATTACTTTGTATCCTATTGAGTAAATGAATACAGTAAATTCTACCTGCACTAATAAATAGAGGATTACACAAGGAATCCAGAAGGTTGGAGGATGCCTGCAGATTATTGGAGACACTCAGCCACAAATCGCAATCCATGGAATAACTGGAAATTTCACACAATGCTTGTGGAAAGTAAAATAGTATTATCACTTTGTAAAAGACATTTTGGCAGTTCCTTATGATTTTAAATGTATACCTACCATATAACTCAACAGACATCATTTTCTTGGCATTTTCATAGAAGAAATAAAGGCACAAGTGCTGCTGCAAGAAATTTTACAGTAGTTGTACGTACAATAGACACAACTTGGAAACAACCCAAGCAGCCATGGATGTACAGAAGACGAAACAGTCTGTAGCATGCTCACACTCAACAAAAAATGCAATGAACAACTGGTCTATACAAGATGAATGATGAAAAGATTCTGAGTGAAGTAAGCTAGAGTTTAAATGATACTTATGGTATGATTACATTTTTATAAAATTGCATGAAAAAAATTGCAGGGATTGAAAGCAGAAGAGTGACTGACTGCGCGGGGATGTGTAGAGACTTGGTGGTGGTGGGGTGACAGGAGCGATTGTGAAAGGACATGAGAATGTGTCTGGTGATAGACCTGTTCAATTTTTTGCCTGTGGTGGTGATTTCATGGAACATACGGGAGATGAAATAGACACTTTCAATGTGTGCAGTTTAATGTGTCTCATTTCATATAAAACATGGCTACCTTGAACTGAATCTCATTTCTTGTGAGTGACCAATTATCCCTTTGTAAACAAATATAATCTGAAGCATTAGCTAAAATCTGCAGGAGGAGGTCTCTTTCCTCCCAGTTCTGGAGAATCAAGAGCATGGTGTCAGAATTGGCTTAGCTCTGGTGAGGGCGCCCTTGGCTGCATCCTGTCCCAACAGAAGGCAACATGGTAGGAACAAGTGAGAAGGAAAGGTCCCATGGCAAGTCAGGAGGTCAGAGACATAGATGGCTCAAGGATCGCTTTTTTAAAACAACCCAGTCTTTTAAAGCATCTCTGGGACAGTTGCTTTAATTCCTTCTGAGGGCAATGGTCATAATGACCTGTCCACCTCTTAAACCCCTCTCTGCCTCTCCATATGCCACACTGACCACTGAGCTTCCAACACAAGGATCTGTGGAACACAATCACATCAAACTACAGCAACCCCTGTGATTATTTGTTTCTTTATTATGCTTTCCAACATTTCACATAAAACAGAACTTGCCCATTTACATTGCTCATTCCTAGCTTAATTTCTTTTGCTAAGAATTCAGTAGAATTTCTACTGCCTAGAGCAGTACAATGCACATAAATGACACCCAATAAATATTTTGAGAAGACATAATTTTAATATTTTTATCTCCAAAACTGAAAATTTCCTGAGGTATGGATATATTAATAAACTTGATTGAATCTTTCTACAATGTGTACACAGATAAAAACATTGCATTTACCTCATAGTATACACAATTATTAATTTCAATTGAAAATACATAAAATTAAGTGACCTTTTAATTCAGCATTTTACAGGATCAAACATTGCCCTATTGTTTAAAGAGACCATAGATTTTATTAGGGTGATCATAAAGGACACCTCATATTCTGAATGATCTGTATTGATTAATTAATTTCCTAACCTTATATTATTTTCTCTTATGCTTCCCAGTGTAGTAAGAAATAGTAGATATTCTTCAGTAGTTCTTGTGTGTTTGATTTATTTCATACTGTCCTCTTACACTGTCCATTTTGATGACCAAGACTTTCCTTTAATATACATGTCATCATTAATGAAGAGAAATGACAAATTTGAGTATGGGTTTTTCGTTGAGTTCCATAGATTATTCATGACATATTCTACAATATAATTTTTAAGCCTATTTCCTTTTATCACAAGCCATTCAAGTAAAAATTTCTTAAATTCTGATTTGAGAGCCTGTTGGCTAGAAACTTTTTATTTTTTTAGGCAAATCTGAAAAAAGTGATTCCCTAGAATTTCTTTCTGCAATGTAAATATAATGTGTATATACAAATAATGCCATGTGAGTAAATGAGAAACAGCTATATGCTTTGCACATATGATAGTATATGAACATTGTGTACATACACATACTAAATGAAGAAACACTGGGCGTATCTGAATACATGCATCTTATTTTGCACTTCCACAAATTCTGGGACTCCAGTACACACATATATTATGCTTATGGCACCATCATCTGTTCTTGAGTCTTATTTTTTGCTTTCTATTGTTCTACATTTACCATTTCTTTTTATCTACTATCAAGTTCTATGATTCATTTCTGACAAGTTCATTCTTCCTTCAGGACTATTAATGAACTTTTTGTTTAATATATTTTCAATTGTGTTGCTTTTATAATTAGTATCTTTTTGCTGATGTTTGACACACATACGTTTTTATGTACTACAGGCTGATTTACTTCATTTCATTGAGCCCCTATATCTGTATTAAGGTTTTTTCTTTTAACTGATTTTAATGTTATTCCCAGATGACCCAGAGAGAACATGCTATTCAGCTGGAACAGAGGGATACATGGTGATTTCATGGACTATATGGGCGGTGTCTCAGAAACAAACTAAAACAAAGAAGAGAGTGGCACCAAACGATTCCAAGGTTCACTGCATTTTGCCCACTGGATGCTACAAGTGCAATGGGCTGGGGATTCATGGGTGCCCTTTGCTTGCTGTTTCTAGGTGAAACAAGCCCCAGTGCTTACCTTTCCTATCCCATTGGTGTGCATTCAATGTGTAGGGCATTTAAACTATCCCATGTACATAGATATTTCATATTGAACGTAACTATGTTAAAATATTTACCTAGTGTTTTGGCTTGGGAAATATATACAAGGAACCTCACATATATACAGGCCTGATCCCATTTTCCTTCAAATCTTAACTTGATACCACAACTGAACGAGAGTCTGGATGAAAGAGGGAGGATTGTATTTTGCATGTGACAAAATGCAAATGGTCATGGCAAAAGAATGAACTGTGACAGAATGCATTTTCTAAACACGATCACAGTAATAGGCATGGCTGCTTATGAACTTCCAGAATGTTTAGCTGGAAACTACATTTTCACTCCCTTGACACTGGAAGGGATTCTCCGACTGTCTTGATGACGACAACATGACACGAGGGGATACTGGGTTATTCCCAAGGCTGACAGAAGAGGAGATGATGCTTCTGCCTGGATCTCTTCTTCATGCTGCTTGAGTTTGCAAGTGAACCGTCATGTCCTGAGCAAGCCGGGTCCACACAGATGCAAAGTTCAGGGATTTTGTCTCAGATTCAGATCAAACTTCTCAGCCCAGCCAACAATCGTGATCAACAGCCAGCAGGTCAGCTGGAAGATTAATTTACTCCTTAGCTTTTAAGAATCTCATCTGAGTACTGCAAATTTCAGATTTCTGACCAAAATAAATGGTATTTTTTTCTAAATAAGAGGTTTGCATGCCTTCAGTTATTATAAATAGAAAAAGTTACTTTTGGTGAAGAAGACAAAACAAGGAACAGGGAATAAAAATGAATTTAAACTTACTCATAATGCTTTCACTTTTCACAAGAAAATATGATTGAGTATTTTGTTAGTAAGATATTTAAAAAGAAACTATTTAAAATGATATTAACATGTTTCTAACACTATGAAGTATTTTTATTTTTTTAAATTTTCATTTTATTTGGAAGACAGAAGGACAGAGAGAGAGACAGAAATACACAGAGATTTCCCCATCTGCTGGTTTACTTCCCAAATACCTGCAGTAGCTGGGACTTGGCCAGGCTGACCCAAAAGCCAGAGAGCCAGGCACTCAATCTGGGTGTCCCACATGGGTGGAAGGAACCAGAGTACTAGAGTTATCACTTGATGCATCACAGAGTATACAGAGGCAGAGCTGGGGCTCAGAGGAGGCACTCTATGAGATATTAGTGTCTCAAGCAGCATCTTAACCACTGTGCCAAATGTCAATCATATGTCATTATTTTAAAATTCTAGGGCCGGCGCCGTGGCTCACTTGGTTAATCCTCCACTTGCGGTGCCAGCCTCCCATATGGGCGCCGGTTCTAGGCCAGGTTGCTCCTCTTCCAGTCCAGCTCTCTGCTGTGGCCCGGGAGGGCAGTGGAGGATGGCCCAAGTGCTTGGGCCCTGCACCTGTGTGGGAGACCAGGAGGAAGCACCTGGCTCCTGGCTTCGGATCGGCACAGTGCCGGCCATAGCGGCCATTTGGGGAGTGAACCAACTGAAGGAACACCTTTCTCTCTGTCTCTCCCTCTCACTGGCTAAGTCTACCTGTCAAATAAAAAAAATTCTAAAAGAATTATATTAAATGTTTAGAATTTGAAAATATTATTTAACATACTCAAATTATTCCCCAAGATTTGAGAATGAGATATCTCATTGGATTTATGGGCAACATGATGTAAGTTCTATGTCATGCTTTGAGATCAGAACAGAAAGTCAATTTCTTTAGAGCTGATTTTTTTTTATCTATAAATCCAATGTCCTCCATACCACTGTTCATTTCAGCTGGTAATTTAAAGACCCATACATAGTCAATTAACCAGATGCATCCCTTCCATCTGGCAAAATACAAATAATCAATAAAATATGTATTGAGGCTTATTAGCCCCTACTTTTCAAATTAAGATTCAAGAACATATGGGTGGCCGGCGCCGCGGCTCACTAGGCTAATCCTCCGCCTTGTGGCGCCGGCACACCGGGTTCTAGTCCCGGTTGGGGTGCCGGATTCTGTCCCGGTTGCCCCTCTTCCAGGCCAGCTCTCTGCTGTGGCCAGCGAGTGCAGTGGAGGATGGCCCAAGTGCTTGGGCCCTGCATCCCATGGGAGACCAGGAGAAGTACCTGGCTCCTGCCATCGGATCAGCGCAGTGCGCCGGCCGCAGCACACCAGCCATGGCGGCCATTGGAGGGTGAACCAACAGCAAAGGAAGACCTTTCTCTCTGTCTCTCTCTCTCACTGTCCACTCTGCCTGTCAAAAAAAAAAAAAAAAAAAGAACATATGGGTATGTTATATTTTCTTTACAAGGGTCTGCATTATGTAACAACAAACTTAAGATTACATTCTAGCTTGAAAAGGCATATGAAATGTAAATTTTAGCTAGGAGAATATGTTTAATTTATTTGAATATTTCACTATTTGGAAATAGCTTGAAACAAAAAAGGACATAATAATCCACCTCTATTAAAATATACTGCCTTAAATAAAATTATTTTGACTTTACTGTCATCATTGATCATCGTGTAGATTTACTAGTTAAATATTATTTTAAAGGATTTATAATTGAATATTAAGTATTTTCCAAGTACATTGTAAAAAAAAAAAAAACACCCTCTAGGTCTTGCTCTTGTGGTTCCTTTCATTCTCTGAATTTATAGCTAATTTTCACGAGTTATAAAGTTCTGGATTACACATGCCCCCACCCATGACACCTCCCAGCAACCAGGGGCTGGAATTGTGTAGCAGTGGGTACACCACTGTTATGAGGGTGACATCCTATATCATAGTGCTCCTTTGAGCTCTGCTCCTCTGCTTTGGATCCAGCTCCCTGATGAAGTGCCTGGAAAGGCCTAGGGACACACCTCAAGTGCTGTACGGGGGTCTCTGCCATCATATGGGAGACTAGGCTGTAGTGCTTGACTTC